TTATTGCGAAGAGCTAATTACTCCTAACTTGTTAAACTCAAAAGAAGAGCTCCTTGCGTCCTAATTAGGTCACAGCTGTGGAGCTCAATTGTATTGAGAATATGTCAAGTCATGCCAAATGCTTTATTTCACCAGAATAATTCACCAGAGTAATTCACCAGAATCAAAAGGCAGTTAAAATCTCTTCCACTTTTCTCGGTCAATGCTTAGTGTTAACCGGTAAAAGAACCACTCATTTATCATCATTTGCATTGCTCATTGTATTTTTTCGGGTGCTGAAAAAAAAAAGAGTTGAATAAAACTAAATGATACGTATGATGCACGATCCTCGCAGTAGATAGCGCTATTTAAGCAATAGCGAAAATCAGACCTGAAAAAAATCAGGCCTGTACGGGATTCGAACCACTGACCTCTGCGATACTAGTGCAGCTCTCTACCAATTGAGCTAACAAGCCAACTGGGAGCAGGCCGTTAAGTTGATTCGTAATAAACCAATAATGATAAATCAGATACAATGAATATATGAACTTCATATATTCATTGTATTATCCTCTAAATTGATAATATTTAAAAAGGATTACAAAAGAACGGAAAACGTCTCTTGGAAACATTTATATTATTTATACGTTGAAAATGAAAGAGCAGGTTCAATAAACTTTAGGTCATTAAAAATAGGAAACTTAGGTGAGAATTTACAGCTTTGATATCGAAAATATACCCATGGTAATTAGAACAGAGCAAATTATAGAATGAAATGAAAGATACAATTGAAACTTTCTGCTTATCTAAGCAAGGTTGGTGTAAAGTTTAATCGTAGGAAAGGAATTGAAGTTACGAGTATAAACTCAGCTTCCAACTACCATGAGATCCAGTTTTTCCAGAAATATCATTAACAGTTATCATTTTACCTAAAATTCCACTAATAATGAACAACAAAAGTACCGAGATGCAGCTGTACAAGGTAGGTTGATTATTCAAAAACTTTTGTGGCTTTTTTTCAATATTTTTAAAAGATCTCAATGAAAGGAACTCGCATGAATTGAGAAAGGCCAGAATACAGAAAAAAACGAATAAATATGCTTAAATATCCACACGGAAAAATCGCTAAATTTTCCCGTAACAACAGAGACCAGAGAAAAACATATAGAAAGATTTTATATCTGAAGACCCTGGAAAATGAAAAGGTAGGAAGAAATTCTTTGATTCGACCAAGGCAATCAGTTTGACGCTTCATTCAGCAGACTAAGTTCTCGTCTCATGTGACCCAAGCTTGTAAGACCTTCACATCGAAGCAAGGTCTCAAAGCCTACTTAGCTTATATCAAGGGAGACGAAGTGGTTCATTATATTAGTTGTAACGGCGTCCGACTTCAAAATCAGAAATAGCTTGAGAACGAGTCCAGAACGAATCATTGTCTCTCACTTGTAACCATGATGTCCAACAATAATCTTTTCTTCAACAATGAGTCATTAAGTTTGAGATCCTTGACACAATAAGTGCTAAATAACGTCAGGTCGTAACTTTGAGTTCGTAAGAGGGTCTCAATAAGGTGATGACTTTTACGGTTGACGTCTTAAATTTTGCCCATTTTACGGCTTACTGTTAACCCAAAATGAATCCGCAAAGTGACTCGATCTTGTAGAAAATTTTATGAGGTTAACTATTTTTATGACCATCGATTTTTATTTGTCAACTTTTAAGCCAATGGGCTAATTTTTTTGGGGCGTTTTACTATAACCGTTAACTTCACTGCTCAAGAATCTTATAATGTTTCTGCAAAATTTTTTACGAATGTTGAGTGTAAAAAAAATGGGTTTGAAGAAATTACTCTGACCTTATTTTGGTTATTTATGGTATTGTTATTCATGAGGAGTTAGTACAAGGGTTTTTTCTAGCACGGATCGCATTGAATTATTGTGTAGTTCTTTAAATGTTCATTTTATCGTCGCAATCTTTATAGCACCCGGAGAAAAACCACAGTATTACCAACAGCCCATAGTCGACCAGCCGCTGTTGGATGCCCCTGGAGATCCTCAGAACTTGAACGTCTATAATGTCCATGTGAACAAATTGCACAAAGACAACAAAGTATCTGGACACATAGGCCCGCATAGCGTGTCTGTATCCATGCAGGGGCCAGGTACGGTTTCTCTGGATACTAGCCAGCTAAACGTGCAGCCTGAAGACCAGCAACCAGACCACACCATCACCATGGTAAAAGACAGCGGCCCATGCCCGCAGTGTAGCATGGTGAATGTGAAAACAGGTAAAGGCAAAACATATATATCTTCATTTACAGCGTAGTGGAATTGTGTTTAACTTTAGAAACTTCTTACATTTGCCGCATCGGGGAGTAATGAATCACTGTATTTTTTTTTACGTCGGGATGTCAATTAACCCGTCGTATCATCGTGGACAGTCATGCTCAAAAATTTGCCACAATCATCAAATCATTCCATTTACAAGCTGAGGAACAGTCGCTCCTATAGAATGCTAAGCGTCCATACCGACACGGCAAACAACTCTTTTATGATTCTAAAGCCAGCCAAGCACATGATGCTTGATATATTTCAGGTGAATGTAGACTATTTTTAACTCTTATTAATCTTAAATTTTATGCCAAAACTGTTTAAAGGAATAGTTTTTAATCCTAGTCTTTAAAAATTTCATCAATATGGGATTCAAATACTACACTGCATTAGACATTATTAGATATTATATTATTGTTTTTAATTAATTCAGCTTACAGGCTGCGATTTGATTTTAATAAGCTATCTCTCTATCTTTCCCAACAGTCTCCGAAACTTTCATCGTTTCCCTGATAAACCATATGCTGATAAGTTCTAAACTGACAAGTAACTCTAAACTTGACTATTGTAACTCTCTACTTTATGGACTTCCTAAGGAGTTCCATATTGCTAAATTACAATCTGTTCAGAACTCTGCTGCGCGTCTAGAAACAATCTTCAAAAATGCGAACTTATGGAGATCGATCGTTTGCAGTATGTGCTCCTAGATTGTGGAACTCTTTGCCTCTTTCAATACGTAGGAGTTCTTCTGTTGACAATTTAAAAAGCGTTTTGAAAACTTATCTTTTTAAAATGTTTGTTAGTGAATGTTAGTAAATGTAGTTTGTTTATAATTTATTTTTAATTGTTGTAAAGCGCCACGGGCAATTTATTGGAGTTGTGCGCTATAGAAATACTCTTTATCATCATTATTATTATCATTATTATTATTATTATTATTGTAATTATTACTATTATTTTTATTATTTATGCTACTTTTCTTTCTTTTCTTAATTAAGGTCTCAAAGGGCCCATACCCCTTCCTCTCACGGGGCCCTCGACACCGGTGGAACAATCATCGAAGGCAGCAAAACCAGGGCATGATGGGAAAAGTCCTCCGTTAGACGAAGAAAAACAAACACACCCAAAGCAAAAATCAAACAAGGAAGTTTTACTCGAAGAAGGACAAGAGCCTGTAAAACAAGAGCACGAGCCTGAGCAGTTACTTCATGAACCCGAAGAGGAGCATAAACCTGTAAACAAACCTGGAGCCGAGACACCTTTGGCTCTCGTGCACCATCAAGTTGACAAGATGCTGTCTAATAAGATAATTACAAACCTTGAAAGTTCAATACCTGTTATGGCTCATAAACCAAAGCGTGAGTAGTATTTAAGAGAAATATATATCGCGTGAAACTTGCATGGCGCGTTCCCCTTCCCCTCCCCCGTGAAAAAGAAATTCGCTTATTTACAAAAGCAACTTAAAATCATGTAGAAAACGATCCAAGTAACAAAAAGTCTCCAAGCAGGATTTTTTCATCGAATTGAAGCACTTCTCCCGAACATCGGTAGAGATTTGTTGCAAGAAATAAACAGAACTGAACTGTATTTAATCTTGCGCGAGTTTAAAGGGACTGTAAATAATCATGCTCCATGCATGGCAAAGGGAAAATGTCAACTTCCTCTTAATGAGGTGTCTAACACAATCAGTTTCAGGGTGTTACTAGCTAACGTTTCGAGCCAGAACATGTTCGGAAGAATTTGCACCGTCAACCAAAGGGGTCCTTTTCGTTTATGTCTCTGATACCTAGTTATTTTTGTTCTCCTTTTCATGGAGACGAGGAGCAAGTTGTAAAGGGTCACAAATTAAGAATAGAAAGTGGAGGAAATCATCAGAAACTTGTTGGCAAAATGGACCCCAATAATGCAAATATTGTTGCCCAGGGCCCTAAAACAGTATCCGTGACGTCCAGCGGCACAGAAGTTACCCAGAGTGTCATATTTGACCCCAATCCTTATTGCCCCGACAAACCGTGTCCACCAGGACAAGGGGGCGAAGAAGGAAAAGGACACCACTAAATGACTGGGGTAGGTACTAACAGAAAGTGTTTTTGACAAATTATCTCTATTACCTTTCATGACGAGCTTTTACCCGCCATGCAAAATGACTTTTGCGTCGTTGCTTTTCTAGTTTTCGAAACGCTATGGTTAATATTACCGATAAAAAGTCTTGCTCATGACTTCTCTAGCCTAGAAGATTTGTAAATACGACCTTTGGCAGTTTGCGACCTTATTCAAAATAGATGCCAAAAAATTGCTGACGCTTCCAACAAATTCTATAAAAAAAAATTTTTTTTCATAAGAAAAAATAATGAACGAGGTGTTCGAGTCTTGTTTGATGGCAACCTCATTATTACAGGCTGATTACTAAAACATTAATCAATCTGTTTCCTCTCCTGACGTCATATATTGTTACTATAGCAAATGATGGGTACTTGGTTTATCCCATAACGATTGAATAGGAAAAGGGTAGAAAAAAGTTTCACGTTTCTCGGAAAATCGTGAAAACACTTTTATTTGGAACATGTGTGAAATCACTTCATTGCAAATTGTATGCCCAGAGCTATAGGGTATCAGGTGTAAAACATAGACGCTTTCCTCAGATTTCATTACCTAATGATCCAACTGTTACTTTTATTCATCTCGTTTCCAAACAGATGAAGGATGTCGCTACGAGCAGATGACAATCTGAGGTTTTAACACCGTTGAGAAAGAGGAGAGACGAAAAGCAGAAAGTTAAACACTCTGTATTTGCATCTTATTTCACACCTTTAAATTTTATATTAAAAAAAGTATTTTTAATCTCTAATGATGTTGAAGACGATCGCTCTTCCAAATCTTTATTACAACTTCAAGAAGAATGTTATTTTTGAGAACTGAAAGTTGAGTGCGGCATTGAGAAATAAACTCATTTATCGAAAACTTGTGTCTTGTAGTTTTAAAACAACAACCGTCGGACGGGTGTTCGCCTACAATTTTCTTTGAACCATGTGGTGATTTAAGTCTGACAACGGTAGTGAGAATTTTTTTTTCGTAAGAAGGATCTTTCATTGTAAAAGTTTCCGGTAGCTGGATGAGGGGAACGGGGGGGGGGAGGGGAGCACTGTTGTCAGGACTATAGATGGTAGGGGCCATATACGTAGTCGAGTCAAATCAGTTTAGTTCGATTTCCTCAGTGCTCCCAAGGTCATTGACTGTGAGATGATACCCGTGACATGAAGCTAGAGTAGAGCGACAAATTGAAAGTTCCAAGGGCAAAGTCTCCATACCTTCAAAACCTTTCAGACGATGAAGAAGGTCCGAGAAACTTATTGGCTCCAATCCTATTTGTCTCCATTCCCCAATGGGCATAAAGCATGCGTCGAGTCTTTGTATTACGTTCTTTGGCGAGATAGTTTACTCTTACAGCGTCTTTCTCCACGCATGAGTTTTAATGAGGTGAAGCTGTTATGTCTGTTCTTGAGCAAAGTGGCCAATCCAGCCGGAAGTTATCCCCATATTTATACGGTAGGAAGCAATTAAAAAGGAGTGCTCCTTCTTTCTTGGATGAGATGCTAGTCGGCGGCAGGTAGAAGCCTTACCTTTCGTAAGGCTCCTCTTACAATTTTCCAGTACCAATTCATACTCCTGGCCATGGGTGGAGAGAGGTACTGTAAGAAAAAAGTACCTTGCTTCCTTCAACCCAGACTTCTCGAGCCGTAGTCTAGCACGCTAACCGCTAGGGGTAACTCGTTTTTCAACTCACGAATTAAAGTAAGTACCAAAGAGATGTCTGGAATTAAAGGACTCGTATGCCATTCAGAAAAGGTAGCAAGGCTCATTGCATGCCACAATATCAGGATGAGTTCCGGAAATGATGATTGGCACCTATTCTCAAAGCCTAATGTTGAACTCGAGGAGGTGATAGGTCTGAAATGAATAAAAAAAAAATTTCCCGTGCTAGGATTGATTATGATGTCTTTACACTTGCTGTGTCACGATTGTTCAAATTTCCACGGAGAGTGCAATTTTTCCGGACGATTGCAAACGTCCCAATTGTTTGAGTCATACATCAGGCGTCAAGGGCGTTTCCCACATAATTCTCTTTTAATTTGAAAACATTTTTGAGGCGCACCCCGAACCCTGGACCCGAAACTCGACTCAGAAAAGTGCTAGAATACTGCAACACATTTCCCGCCTCCCACGACTATGATTGCTGGGATCTAAAGCTGTGGAGTAAGTAAACCTCGGACATTCTTGATCGTTTGTAATTTTCGGGAAAAAACCAAAGAATCGCTCGGGTTTCTATATATCCAATGCCTCCTTGATATATATTCAGGAAAATGTTCCTATTTCGGGAAAAATCTGAGACGCTGAAATTGATGTCGTTATTAAAGTAACGACAATAGTAAATCTTTAAAGGCTCTGCTGCTATAAAATATGATTTTAGACTTTTGAATTTTATCTGTAAACATCAAATGAGCACCTTTTTACATACTGAGGTAAACCGAGTGAAGTCTGCCACTTAACGTTTAATAATGTAAGTGCATGGACAACGAAATCAGCTACCGTAAAATAGCTGCTGTCACGTGACTCTGGAACTGCCTCAACCGAAGGCAGTGACAGAATTGTCTACAAAAATGCGACTTATAATTCTCGATCGGGAAATACCCGAGTTATTTATACTACTGATTTTATTAATCATTTGCCAAGGGAAAAGGCACTTCAAAAACAATGATGGTAAGTTTTCACACATAATTGTAACAACCAGCAAGGAATAAAGACCCTTTCTTTAAATGTGATAGCGTCACTAGGGTATAAAGACCGTTGTTTTGCGCCCGTATACTGCACGTTTTTGAGGAATTTTTAGCCAAAAAGATTTGATGCAAGAGTACATCTTAATCTAAGCTTTTTCCCATAATGGTGGCTATGGAGTGGATATTTATGGTTGTGAGTTAGTTGGAAAACGGTGATCATTGAAGTGTAGGAATTAAATGTAATCAAAGTTTCCATAGACCAAACATCTCACAATTATAATTGGCCGATTTTAGTCGATTGGAATCAGTCGTTACCTTCAAGTAGTATCGAATACAAAAGCGCCAATTTCGTCAAGAGTTTCTATAAGATTTCAATAATTTCGCGATTTTGTCATCTTTTATTTTTTCCACCTGCTAAGCCGTAGTATTTCATTTTGGTTTACGTACCTGTTTTAACACCAATTATTCCTCCCTGATCAACTTTGTGACAACAGACTCTTCGCAGGAAAGCAAATCCACTTTTATCACAATCAGACTGCCAGCGAATGTTGCTACGCGCAATAAAGGTAATAAGATGTAATTTATCCTACTCTAACCGTCGTAATTTTATCATTTCCTGTAGTAATTAGGTTCCTAAGATATGTCTCAAATCTAAGGGTAATTTGTTTAATGTTTGCATGTCGTAAAAAGTACTAAGTAATTCTAAATTGTTTAAAAAAATACCATTTTCATCGGTATACTCGTCAAAAAAGATAAGAAAAAATGGTGAAATTTATTTAACTCCTTAAGAAAGAACCGTCTCACACTTTCAAAATCTTATGTTTTGTTTTCAATGAATCTCGAGTAGTACTTACGTACAATGGCCCGTAGACAATAGAGGACGCATGATCATTATAGACAGATGATTTGTCCCATGGTATGCGTTTAGTGCAAAGACGGCACGAATAGCAAGACTACTGGTAAAGACGAACAATACGAAGTATTAAGCCCATCGCAGTAAAAAGGAATGGACACTAGAGTACCTTTTGGTGGAAAAATTTTGGATGGCGGTCGTCTTGGAACTTGCAAAACTGTTCTCTCGTAAACGTAAAGCAGAAAAATAGCTTTTAATTCGCCAATATAAATCAAACGAAGAAATGTCAAAGAAATAATTTCCTAGAGAGATGGAACTAGAAACTGAATCTTCAGAACCAGTTGTTATGTTGGTAATAGAGATAGCAAAAAGCAACAAAAACGAGAAATTTCCTTGATTTCTTCTTGGAAATACATAAATCTAATTAGCTCATCGCTTCTGCACACTTTCACCATTTTTTTGTACGCAGAAAGAATTTTATCAAACGTCCATGACGCACAATTTTGCCGAAACCTGGGCGATAAATCTAGCCCCTTTATTTTCAAGACACCTTCCCAAAGTATTGTGATTGTTGAAGTTGTGTGCCTTTCCCTTCTCACCTTCTCACCCTCTGGGGTTTATAGATTGTGTCTATGAGGGTTCTATCCGACATCATGGTGATGCCTGGTCCCCAGGCCCCTGCATTCCAGAGTGTCGATGCACGCATGGTCACGTGAAGTGTTCCAAAATAGAATGCCCGGATTTAAATTGTGACAGGCCCATCAAGAAAAAGTGGAAATGCTGCCCAGAGTGCTTACCTTTAATGGATAACGGTAAGATAATGTCCCAATATAGCACAGAATCAAATGTTCTTACCGACTGAGTTGGAACTCATAACGATTCTATACTCTGTTCTCAAACGTGGAATGGACTTTCGGTATCTTGTAAATCGGACTGTTTCTCCTTGCATCTCTGAGACAACTTGATTTATTTTTTCAGCGCGGAGAGCTTCACATATTCGGAAATTTTCCCATTTTTTTTTTCTCGTGAAGCGAATACGAAACGTTGCTCTCTGAAAAACTCCTTTGTTCTAAAATTGCTGTGTTCTGGTTTTAGGGACCACTTGTGGCGTGTGGAGTAACGGTGGCAACGGCAATAGTGGTTGTTGTGTGTTTCCATTCGAATATAATGGCGTCAAGCATTACACTTGTACTTACTTGGATCACAACAAGCCATGGTGCTCCATCTCCACGAACTTTGACCGGGATGGAGTCTGGGGAGAGTGCATAGGTAATGAACATGAAAAGCATTTGTTTTCGATGTGTGCTTCGTAATATGTCGGTTTGTGAAATCGGATAAACTAACGATTGATAAGGTAAAACAGCCAATTTCCTATCATCTAATCCTCAAGAGTATAATTACCACGTCGAAACCGTTCGCTCTTTTTTTTCTGCAAAAAATCAAATTACTTGAGCATGGATGCATTTGATTCAAGGATGAAAATACTGGACACCTTGAATTCTAAGGTTCTCTTAACGCGGTGATGGGAATCGCCTTCAAAAGAAATGATCCTAAAAAAGTGTTTTGGAAGATTTTTAAAAATTTCTACCCTTTCATTCTCTGGAAGTTAGACAAAATGGCGACTCTAACTTATTTCTGAGCCAATTAAGATCTTTACGCTCTATCTTAATTTCTTTATCGATCGGGAATATTCAGTCTCATCTACCGCAATCTAGTTGTTTATCACGAATTTGAAAACTTCCCACCGGACGCTTCTTTTATCAATCTCTCGTCTCACTTTATTCAGATGACGGTGATACACCCAAGACATTACGGTTTAAAGATCACAAAGGAGGGACTCAACAGCAAGACAACAGCACAGATGCTCTTCTTTCCAACATCGCGAACAACGTGGCCAACAGCGTCTCGAACGAGAGTGCGAACGTTTCAAACCCTAGCCCTGTCACTCCGGAGTCCAATGTGACCATTGTCCCGTCAGAAAGTGCAAGTGCAGCTGCAACAGTCATCCCATCTAGTGCACAACCTTCCCAAACCTTAGTAATACCTGTTGCATCAGCAAATGCAACTTCTCCTGCCGCAACTGTCTTGCCATCTCCTTCTTCGAGTGCTGGAGGCCCTGTACCTCATGCAAGTTTAAGTAGTGCAGTACAACCAGCCAGCAGTCAGACAGTTCCTATTATGGTCAGCAGTGTTCAACCATCAACTTCCCAATCAGCGTCACAGGCAGTCCAGGTAAATATATGCGACATTGAGAATTTTTTTGAGCACATTTCCATCTCCAATCAAACCTACTACTGTAACAAACTGAAAGGATCATAGATGTATTTTTCCGAGTATGAAGGGAAGGAAAAGGAGAAAAATGGAAGGGAGAAATTGGAAGACAAAAAAAGGAAAAAATTTATGCTCGTGCATATGCATCACAATTTTTTCTCTGAGTTAAATTGGAAAAAATTTTCAGAAAGCGCAGGAAAAGTTTTGATTTATTTCTGAACTATTTTTGTGCTTCGTGCTTGTCATGCAGCTACAATTAGGGCTTGAAAGTCAACAGATATTGAAAAAAAACACAAGAGTTGCCGTCTGCTGTCGGCATTTTATCTACTGAGATGGAAAGACTTGAACTTAAGGTGACGTTTTTGTTGTGTTACCACAAGGTATATGTGAAAGACATGTCTATTATGTTTAGATCTCAGTGATAGGACAGCCAGGAGCTGTACCAACGCCACCCCTTGGAATAGGAGGTGCTGCGGCCGGGGCGGCCGGGGCGGCCGGGGCGGCCGGGGCGGCCGGGGTGGCCACACCTCAACTGCCAGGTCTAGCACCACAAGTAACCCAACAGCCGCAACCACAGGTAACGCAACAGCCAACACCTCAGCCCACCCAACAACCAGCACCTACACTTCCCGGACAGCCCATTCCACAGCCTGGCCAACAACCAGCTGCTCAGCCTGCTCCTGCTCCGGTACCAGGCCAACCACCTGTGGAGGGTGTTACTCCCGGCTCTCCTTTCCCGATATCGCAGACAACACTTACTCCAGGAGAGACCCAGGCTGCAGGTAATGCTCCTGGTGTAGCTGGTCAGGCTGTGCATGAATTGACGACAACAGAAGAACACGGAAACCACAACATCACAACCACTGAGTCTTGGTTTGGCAAACCAAACGAAACTCTCAACAGGACCAACGGTAAGCTCGAATCAGGAACTAAAAATGATCCTACGAGATTATTAAGTTTCTACATTTAATCTGTTGCTGAATTTGCAGCTGAACTGCAGAGATAGGATAAGGGTTGAGGGATTGCAAACATTGTTGATTGCAATGCGTCTTGTTTAGTTTTTTCGTCCTGCGCGCGCGGGGCTGGATTGGATATACATATTAAGGTCTACACCAAGTGTTCGCAAGTTAGTTGTTTTGCGTCTCGTTTTATCACGTTTCTATTAGGCTTACAAATCTCGTAATTAGTATTTCGTTCATTTCGTTTTGTTTCGTTTAGTTTCCTGTAATTCAAACCTTTTTGTTTTCCTTTTTGTCAAACCAAGTCACATCAAACAGATTACGCAGATTGTGCTTGTCAGATCAAGTCGAACATTTATTTACAAACCTAGCAATTGACAGGTTTATGGAGGGTTTGCCTTGTTACAGATTTTGCCCTACCATTCGTTACATCAATTTCTTAATCATGCGGTTCCTGAATAAGTCATGATCATAAATGACAAAATGTTTACATTTTCCTATTGTAGAGGTAATGAGTCAATCTGGAGAAGTTAACCAGGCATCATACGGTTACCAAGCAGCCTCGTCTCAGCGTTACGACCAGAACCAGGCTCCCTACAATGATCAACCGAGCTATTCCCAACCGGATTACGCATCTTATTACACACAGAGCAGTCCTCAAGCAGACTCCTTGTCTTACAACTCCCAGAGCAGCCCAGTAAATAATTATCCGTCTTATAACACACAGTCATACAATAGCTATGACAACACTGCTTACCAGCAATACGACAGATCACGGGCTCAAGATACCATGGGGCAAGCTAATTACTATTCAAATGAACAACAATACCAACAGCAGTACGGTGGAGACCCGGGGTCATACTACACGGGTTAAACATGAAGTGCTCAGTAGTTTCAATCACTTTCCGGAAGTCTTTAACATTACATCAAGTTTTATAACTCATTTTTGTTGATTTTATCTTTGTATCGAGAAGAAATCCAGCAAATATATTTTGGTTTCTCGATTTTAAGTTCTATGAGTTCTCTCTTGTAAACCTTAGAGACCGAGAACGTCGCTCACGTCTTGTTTTGACTCGGGTAATTGTTGCTAAAAACAACACAGAATGCTCAGCTTCCAAAGAGATTTCTCGCTCAACTATCCGCTGGCGAGTCAATTACGAGTCAATTACGAGACAATGCCAGAAATGTTTGGTTTGTTAATAAACATTAAATCAACTGACTCAAGTGTTAACAGTGTCCTACATCCACATGTACAATCTCAGTGTCTTCTTAAACATGCATTGACAGGCTGGGAGAACAGGTATCTAACCTCATTTCTGTCAGTCCAATACATTCTCTCTCGATCATTTTCAAGGTTAAAAGATGAAAAATCGCACTCGACTTGAAAATGGCTCTAAGGCTGTTGTGAATATGCATAAAAACACAGAAAAATAGGAAGGTTTCGACGAAAATCAGTCTCTCTAAGAATTGAATTAGCAAAGCTCCATTCTATAAAGTTTCTCTGAAATATCCAACGCATATCGTCTTTGAACTAAAGGTAAAGAAACAAGTGAGTCATTCGGATTTTGTTGCGCTCACGATATCAGTTGTATAAAATGGCTGTCATACGTACATTGAGTGGTTTTGATGAAACTGTCGATAATGTAGTATGATTGTTAGGTGGTTCAGTTAAAAAATATTATCAAAGACAGAAAATTACGTTTCTACAAGCAGAACGGAAGTTATTATTAGAGACTAGTGTACTTTCAAACCTTAGAACTGTACTCATGGAAGTCAATTGTGGAGTTTCTGCGTCAAATTAATGCGATACCTGTTGGGTGAAAAAAGCAATAAAATACATTCCTGGTCATCACCTCGATCTTTGATCTTTACCAGTCATTTCGCCTGGTTTTTAATGAGACAATCGCGAGTAAATCAAGGTTAAAACATAACTGTCAATTGTTTCAGAAAATCTGAGGTCCGTTAGAAGCTGTGTCAGCAATGACGCGGGTTTCCTTGCCATGCAATAACACAAGTCATATTTGGTCAATATCCTCGGTGATTTGAGAATAGTTAGCTTTAACTGAAAGCTAAATCGACCAATTCAAGGCATTTTATTATTTGACAACTAGGCTCATCGAGCTTTCACATTGTTCAAATTCTTGAGCCATCGCACTTATTGAAAACAGAATATTAGCTCTTTTAGCGAACACCTTTTACTTCTTCAATAAAGAGACACAAACAAATGCTTGCTTTGTCTAGGGAAGGATGCTCTTGAAATTTGTACTCATAAGATTTCAGCAAGTGCGAAGTAGAACTAAACTGCGTTTATCGATACCTTCTTGCATAAACTGTTGCTTGTCTTGTTATGAAAGAAACCGTTCCAAAGCTCTCCAATCAGATGAACCTGTCTGCGACGTCTTGTTTCTAAGTTCGCCGTGACACTACCAGTTACGATAACAAATTTTCTAATTGGTCTACCAGTCAAGTTTCAGATAGAGAACACAGTGCATGCGCGAATAGCGACTTCCTTATTTGATTACATACGTGGCCTACTATATACGCATGCGCCGGTTGTAGTTCGCATTTTTAGTTAACAAAAGAATTAATTATTTGCTGGGCTCATATTTTCAGAGTAGAAATGTCGACAGTGGACTCGACGAGATGGGGCTAAAATTCCAGTCGCTTATAACTTAACGAGAGCGACCAGTTTATTTTTTTTACTTGGCTGTTTTCGAAGGTAAGAGATAGCAATTTTAAGAAAATTTCATCTCAGGAGAAACTAGTTTAGTCTGTCCGGATAAATCTCCGACTTGGGCTCGGTCGACTGATCTTTTATTTCCAAGTTGAAGCCTAGCTTCATTATGGCTACGGAAATAAAATTGAAGTCTTCTAGTTTTTCGAAAATAGATACTATTTTAGATCTACAAAAAGCCTGTCAACAGAAGAGTCAAATCTTGTACTCTTAAAATCGAGTATTTCACGATTTTTAAATTGGCTTGGAAGAGCAGATTTTACTGTGACTATATGATGCAACAAATGAAAAAAATTCTTGCGCCCTCTACAATTATATTTTCAAAATGACAAGCTTAATTTGTTGGTAATTTCAAGTCGGACCTGATACTTTTTAATCTTTGAACGTAAACTCTCTTGTGATGTTACAGGTTACCTAACATATAGAAAAATCAATATAGCACCATTCAACAAAGCGGGTCGTTAGATGGCCCAACCAACACTGCTAAAACAAGTTTTCTCAAACGTTCCTTCTATCATCTCTCTTCTCAATAACATTACTTTGGTAAAGGTTTAGTTTAAATCCCTTCAGTGAGAGAAATTTTATTTTCCGCAGAAAAAGGTTAAAAATTGGGAGGAAACAGCCCTCCTCTCGATTGAGACGGAAAGGGGCAACTTTCAAGTCGAGGAGAAAAGCAACTAGCAATGGCAACTTTCAGACGGATACACGTTTGTATTTTTGTGTATCTTGTCCAAGTCATAGCAGCCACAGATGGTAAGTTTTTTTTTTTTATACATTTCAGTACACTTTACTTACACAACGAAGATTTGGTTTCATCAATATACCGTAGAAGATATACCAGCGACTTTATTGATTTTAAACTGTCTCGCTGTCAAACCTTCTTCGCTGACTAAGATAAGTGACTTCAAGGACGAGATCTGTTTTTCAGAGGACTGAACTAAAATCAGGAAAAAAGAATAGAACGAGAACAGTTTGTTTGGGAAAACTTTATCAGATCAATCTCACTTTTTGATGTCGGTTATCAATTATAATTACAAAAAATTAAGAGAAGTTTTATAAAAAAACTATCGACTCGCAAAGTGCGATTGAAAATTCGGGTGTTCATTTTTTTTTTCAAATATAGGCTTCTCAAATTAACCATGAATTTGGCAATTTTTAGCAATATTTTCTCTCGAAGAAGTTTGAAAATTTTAAACATTTTTCTCTTTCCCGCCTATATGTAAATATTTTATGAATAGATACTTGCGAAGGACAAAAAAGAACTGGTGTAACACCATAATAAATCTTGCCACCTGGATAAACGACTTCATCCCGCAACATCTTTGCTGTGTGAAACATTTTTTCGGTTTGACTCCATCTAAGCCATCCCAAGACTCATAACTGGAGAGACATTCACTGGTTTTCTGCTCAAATCTGTCAATAATGCATTCGCCACATTTATTCAAATGGTTTCGTAAGATATGCTTGAACGCTTTCGTTGCTATGCCAGCTAAGCGTAACAACAATTAACAGACTACCTGCTGAACACAAGCTGCTTTGAAACCAAAGATCAACTGTGTTAAATGAATATGAATTATTTGAAATGTTTATAAGAGAAACATATTGTGAAACCGTCGCAAACGGTCTAGAAAGTAAGCCGTTAGCCATCAACCAATTTCTTAAAGGTGTAAGTCCGCCAGGTCAAAAACTCCTGAATGGCCTTAAAGTATGTCGAGTATTCTAGCAGCTGAATCGAAAACTGATAGGGTTTTCCGATGGATTACCGAAACATTTCATAATATCGTTAAAATGTACTTCGATACGTTTCAATTGCACTCACGTAATGTTTCAAAAGGAAATTCCCCTTAAACAAGGCCAATTTTGTATGTCACTTTCTCACAAAGAGGAATAAAATATCCTACATATCGTGATGAAGTTGCAAAACCCATCAGTAAACACATCAGCATTTTCCTTTTCGTTGATTTCGGCGTTGACAACCTCTCAAGATTTTCAGTTCTTCACTCATGTTTCAGTAACCAATAAAAAAGAAAGCTCACGACATTGTCACTGCTAGCGAAAGTTATCGTTCAATTTTCGTTTATGGAAAGCATTACATCTCTAAAGTGAACAAAAACAAACAAATATTGTTTACAATTTTAAATCGAAGAAAATACATAAACAAGGGAAGAAAGCTCTCTCTTCCTCCGCCTGGAAACAGTGTTTATGTGGCGAGAAACCAGGGAAAACATCGGAGCTTGCAAAGATCCTTAGTCCGCACGAAACCTTCATGATCATCGACACCGAGATAATTTGAATAGACAAAAACGCTTTTTGTGAGAGTGAAATGAACAGTGAAAGTCGTAGTTGCCTCATAGTTAAGATTTAAACTCTAGATCAAAAGGTTTTGCTCCAAGACCTTTGCCCTACTGTAGAAGTTCGGTTGTTTTGTTCGGTAAGACACTTATTAGAGACGGACACCAATGATGGAGCAAGTTACCGTTAAAATCATGAAAATGTCCTAACAAAGAAGATTTTTTGGGACAGATGCGGGGAAATAGGGGCCAAAGTGTGTAAAACTAGGAACAATTACATATCAGCTTTTAAAATTCCCAGTCGGAGCCACTTTGGATGATAAGACGTAATACAGTTGTACTGCCATCATCAATCAACAGCTCCTCTGTTTGTAGAAGTCTTGAGGGGATCATAGAAATTATAGCGTCAACAATAGGGTTCCTCACGATCCAAGATGGCGGTGGGCATAGTTTATAAATAGTTTTCTGACATACGAGCCTTTAAATCAAAGTGAACTCAGGGATATACTGCGCAAACGTATTAGAATATACAGAGGTGTACTAATAGCCAATAATCTTGTGATTCCAAGAAACAGATTGAGCCGTCATCTCTAAGAAACTCCTTAATTCATCTAGTACCATGAACGATCAGTCCGATATCTTTAATAAGATACTGCTTCCCCCATCACTTCCTCACGGGACTGGCACATCGAATCCCCATGTAACTTGTTCCTATGCTTTACAAATCCACGAGTTAAAACTGAAAGCACTAAGGAAATCTAAATAGTTTTGGTTATGGGGAAGGGAAGGGCAATCTATGATGGACCAACATCTACAACACTAAGGTAAGAGAGGAAGAAATTATACTTTCAATCGTCAAATGCTATAAGAACCAGCGCCTGTAAGATGGGCCATTTGGCCCATGTTCCGGTGTTGCCTCTACCGTTCAGTCGAACTTCTGTACAAATGATCTGTCTTTTTTTTTTTAGATTCTTGGTGCGTTGACCAGAACGCATGCGCAATGTACTCGAAGACTCACTGTGACTCGTATGACTGGATCAACCTCAACTGTCCAAAGCTGTGTGGGCACTGCGGAAAAGGTGAGTTGAGGGTTTAGTCATCTAGGCAGCACGTGTAGTTTTGTATATACACTGTATATAGCTAATCGCAATAGTGAAAACAGGAAAGGATGTGTAATTTTTGAAGCGTAAACTT